AACGGAGAACCCAATAACATATTTTTCCCAAATATAAATCGAATCCACGTCTTTTGCGAGCTGGGACAAGAGACAAACAGTCACACCACAGAGGTTAGCAGGTTTGTTGAGCCAGATCAGAGGAAGGCACGCATGCTAAATTTGATCATCAGCCTTTCTCAACCTGCGGATATCATACTACGGTGACATGTGTGACAGGTGTCTCCTGGAATACTATCACCCCCCCGCCCCCTTATTCATTTCACAATTAAAACACATGCCACTGGCATTGCACCTTAGAGAGTCACAAAAATTAGTAACAAGCTTTACAAACTAGAATAATTTGAAGCATTGACATAAAAAGAATGAAGCGAACTAATACAGCAGATCTAAGTGTTTTATTTTTAGCTATTTATAATAAAACATTAACAAATTTTATAATAACAAGCAGCGAATATAATTGTCCAATACACCAAAGTTGAATACACAGATTTTTTTCCTTACAAAAAAAAACTACAGTGAGATCCACTTAAACTGAAATCTGAGGGACAGAAAGATTTTCTTCAGAGAGATTGCTCAAATAGAGATAAGAAGAAATTAGGATAAGAGGTTCTATTTTCTTTTGGTTTACTGCTATTTTTCGATTAACTGTATTCGGTTTAAGTGAACCTCATTGTATCTCAGCTGAAAAACTTGGTCAACCTTTAAAACAAAAAGGCATGTTATCACAAATGTATTAAGAGAGAAACAAACAAACCAGGACACGCATGAAATCAACTCGGAAAACAAGAAACTAGTCAGTACAATAATCACCCCACCTAGGCCACATCTGAGAAAAGGCTGGAACCCAAATTGATACCCACTACCAGTGAGTCGCATGCCACAACATTCATGATGTCATTGTTGTACATCTACGAGTAAGTTAGAAAGAGGAAAACAGCATACAGCACTTGTACCACAATTAAGGTCACATAAGTGTCGAAAATTAGAGGTTAAGGAGGAGACATTAGGACAACAGATGTTTGGTACAGTGGAATCCACTTATAATGAGTCCGGAAAAAACGAGAAGTCTGTTATAAAGACACTACTCTAAAACCCCATTTTTAACATCTTCTTTACCTTTGTAAATAAAATACTGCTATAGCGCTATCAAACAAACACGCGAGTCGGTTACAGCGGAATATTGCTGCTACTGTGTACAGTGCATAGGCCAATTATACATAAAGTAAAACCTCGCCAGTTGAGAAACTTGTTGGTGATCTAGCGAAACAAAGAATGGGAGAGTCCATATGTGGCAACAATGAAGGCCGGAGCGACTGAGTAGGGAGGGTGTGGCATGCGCAGACAAGCAGAACGCTTCGCGTGATAGGCCAGTGTAAGCCTAGTTTAGATTATCAAGGCCTACCATGCCTCTCACTTCTCTGATGCGGGGGTGGAGAGGTCACAGCAATGTAACGGATGGAGTGAATGAGTGACGTGCGCAAGCTGACTGAATTCACCACAGGGTGTGATGGGGTGGGGGACAACACAGCGGGCGAGTTAGCCCAGAGCCCATTCTTTCTGATCGCCAACGCCGAGCTGTCAACATCGCTTGATCTAGTGCTAGAGAAAGAAACCTGATTCGATTTTTGATCAAGTAAGACCTAGAGGTCATATTGAAACAAAATCATTATCAGGGGAGATAGCAAAAGGAAATAAACAGAACACCAAACTCATAGATTGAGCATACTTTACAGTTTCCCTTGAATTTATTACTGGATCCCTTATAGCGAGAATCCTGCTATAACGAACATTTTGCTCTGGTCCCCTCCCTCTCGTTATAACAGGATTCCACTGTACTACACCAGAGCACATGCTAACCATACACGAACATCTAATTTAACGTAATCCTTTCACATGTCAACAATAATCAGCGGGTATATAATTGGAATGTGTCATACTTAATACTGACAAAGGAAATTCTGCTTTATAAGCAATTGAAAGTTCTAGGATAAATAATAACGGACTAGTGCATTTAATTATGTAGGTGGTACTGAATTTATGCCCATCTTTGAGATTATAATAAAATATGAAACAATCAAATAATTCAGGGTTTCTCAACTTTTCATAAATTTGCAACAAAAGTATATAATAAGACCCAAAAGTCAATGTCCCATCCCCCCCCCCCCCACTCTGCAAACCTAGAGAGTCACAGCTTACCAGCAGAGAAACCCTGTAATAATTTACACAAGTAGGCTACATATTATTACTATAGGACCTTTATGTAAGTGCTCAGAGCTAAAATGCAATCTATTATGCAATATATAAATGCAATCTATTACTATTATAATAAATAGTATTATCATTGTAATTATTATCATTATTATTACCAACAGGCAACAGAGTAAATTTTGCAACTTAAAGATTTGACAAGCACAAATTCACCAAAAAAATGTTGTCACAACACAATTCTAAGGAAAATGAAACTTCAAGACGAGAAAAAGAAATCTCCAATTCCATACAGTTAGACCTGCATGTGAGCCTCAATCAGATTGTCTGAAAATTTTGCGCACCCCCCCCCCCCCAAAAAAAAAGCCTTTGTGGGTGTCATAAGGAAGGACATCCGAGTAACGAGCGACCACCCAACAAACACAATAAAGAAGAGACCTAACCCTAACCCTACTCCCAAAAAGAACCTGCAACGCGCCTCATGTAAAAAGGCCAAAACAAGTCCTAAATGAAAAAAAAAAATTTAATTAAAAAACCACACTCCAAAACAAACAAGGAGCATGTAGATCTAAATCTAGATCTAGATTTATATATGGCTTACATCTACATTGCTATACGGTTTGATACAATAACACAATAGAATTGGAATATGAATCCTCCATATAGATCTAGTAAGGAAGAGGCCAGCCGTACTTAATGACGGCTAGACTGGCAGTCTAGCCATACTTAATAAGTACGGCTAGACTCGCAGTCTAGCCGTACTTATTCTTAATATGATGGCTAGACTGACCATTTACAAAAAGTAGGCCTACTGAATTGTAAATAGACATTTTTAGTGTGCAGTACCTAAAGCATTTGTATTTTGAACGAAACCAGGTGCCTTAATGACAGTGTATATATTTTAAACCTCCTGTTTTCTAATGTTAATAGGGCCTAAGATAAGTACGGGAAGACAACCAGGCTTAGGCTAGCCGTACTTAAGGCAGGACGGCTAGACTGTCAGGCTAGCCGTACTTAATATTGATGGCTGAATTGTAAATGAAATTTTTAGTTTGCAATGCCAAAAGTATTTGTATTTCAGACAAAACCAAAGGTGCCTTACTGACTTGCATGTATTTGAACCTGAATAATTACTAGAACTAGAATCTAGATCTCTAGATCTAATGAGACCTACTGTGTACTTAACAGGCTTGAGTCGATTGGGCCAACAAACCTAGATCTATAAATCTAGATCTAAGTACGGCTAGACTGACAGTCATAAGTACGGCTAGCCACTTCGATCTAGATCTAAATAAATCTTGATCTAGAATCTAAATCTAGATATCTAGAAATCTAGATTCTAGATCTAGAATCTAGATATCTAGATTCTAGATCTAGAAAAAATCTAGATTCTAGATCTAAATCTAGATCTAGATCTAGATTCTAGATCTAGATCTAGATTCTAGATCTAGACTAGATCTAGATCTAGATCTAGATCTAGATCTTGTAGAACAAGTGAATAGGAATAGGCCTTGAACTAGAAATCCGCATCCGATTCCGAACAGAGGGACTCAGCTGAGTCTATATTCTAGAATCTAGATCTACAATCTAGATCTATAGTACTAGAATCTAGATTCTAGATCTATATCTAGATTTCTAGATCTAGATCTAGATATATATCTAGAATCTAAATAAATAATTATAAATAATTCACGCACCTGTTGAAATGTTATTTTTACCAATATTAATATTACAGCACAACCTATGATAGGGTTTGACACAAGAGAATTGGAATATGAATCCTCCATTGAGGTCTATAATGATCTATATATAAATCTAGATCTAAATCTAGATATCTAGATTCTATTAGAACAAGAGAGTCGGACTTGAATGAATCCACACGATCTGAACAATTGAATTAGCCAACAAACGAAATTCAAAATGGCGCTCGAGCACGAAACTGAAAGTAGATAATTTAAGTTGTCGTCCTTTTTCGTATTCGCATTTCTACTTAGGTTCCGACAATTATGTTGGAAACGCCGACGTCGGCAGTCGGCGGTCGGCACGAAAACGAAAGTGCCGACGAAGCCGAAGGGAGAAAAGGGGGTCGCTGGCAGTCGGCCAAGCCTCGCACTACGCACATTGACTGATACAGGCGGGCCTAGCGATAGCATCGGCCGGTTCGCGGGTCGGGTCGCGATTGTCGGATTTCAGACGATTGTCGGCAAACATGCAGGTCTATACAGTGAAAGAACATAAGAAACTGACCTCTTCATCATTTGTGCAACAAGTCTCCTTTCCTTGGAGAGAGAAGAATAACAAAAAAAGCTATCCCATAGCTGCAATGCAAACTCTTAAACCACCTTCTCCCCCTCCACCCACGAAAAAACCCACTCATGCGGTGGGTCAAGATGGTGCACACTAGCCAAGTAACCCCCTCCAAACCTTTCACACACATTTCTACATTCAATAAATTCATGCTCAACAGGTAACTGTGGTAAGTATTGGCAAGTTCATGGGGGAGCAATACTATAAAAAAGAGAAACTCAGCCCCTGATTTTTTATGTAGGCTACTGTTTGGTAGCTATGCAAACATCTGTGGAAATGTCAAAGTAGAGAGTAGCAGAGGAACTAGAAGATGGTTGGGGGGAGTTCTTGTAATAATCTCATTTAAAAAGTTCTTTACTTTCAATCTGGACATTGTAATAAACAATCAATATCACTCTCAGCAGCACCCTCCTCACAAAAAAAAAGAAGTAAATGGCAACCAATTCAGAAGTCGTCTTGCCTCAACTTTCAAGAGCATCTTTCTATAATACTGTTTACACAAAGACTTTTCTTCCTCCAACTTTTATAGACACAACAATTATTTCTACATTCACCTTTTGTTCAACATTACGACACATGAATCACATTCAATCAATTATAATAAAAACCAGAAACTTTGTCTAGTACCCAGCTCTTAACCAAGCGGCATCTCCACCACCGATGGGTAAACACCTGTCGCGAAGTGGTACAGCTGTCTCTCTAGATCTCCCAGAAGTGTGCTGGCCCCGATCCTGAAGAGTCTGGGGTTCGTGTACTCGTCTCCTAGCTCTTCCTTCATCATGGAGAGCCATACACAGGCGTCTTTAGCTGTTCGGATGCCACCAGCTGGTTTGAAGCCCACCTGAAAAAATTGATGGAGAGTCATAGTCACAGGCTCGGCCAAGAAAAGAATGGGCAGATCAAGGAAATAAAAGAAAGCACAAGTGCAGAAGCTATAAAAATAAATGAATAAATAAACAAGTATATGTTTCTTTTTATTGATCCATGTGAGGAAAGCCTGGTTTACAATACAATCTACATGCACACATACATGATACCACAAATGCACCATTGCTGGTCACCATTGTGCAGTGTGCTGTGCAGGCAGGGGGCCTCAAAGGAATGTTTTTTTTTAAACAGAAGGGGTTCAACTGATTTAATTTTTAAAGAAAAAAAATCAGTATTCTACTAGCCACTAAAGAGGAGATCTCAAAGACAGATCTTGTCTACTGTTAGAACATTGAGCTAAAAGTTAATATTCCACAAAGGATGAGGAAAAACTTGAATTGGATCCCACTCAAATTAAAACCTTCAATCTCTACAGGCTTGTCATCATCTGTGCCATAGTTGTCAGCGTTTCCAGTACAAGTGGCAAACGGGTTATGCAAAAACAGTACTAATCCAACACATTTGGGGATTTTAATTCTTAAAAGTTTAAAACAATTTATTAAAAACAATTCTTTTTTTTGTGTGGTTTACTGCTGTTTTCAGATACGTACTGTATTCCAAATATTAAAGAACATTAGTCATAGCGACAAGGTTATACAGATCTCCAGTCTTATATGCAGTAATATCCGATGAGGTTGTACTCACCCGAATGCCAGTACGTTGAAGGAAATCCCTTATGGCTCTTATCATCACTAATGCAACCACAAAGGTTGCGTTGACCCCCTCTTTTCCAGTGGAAGTTTTGATGAAGTCAGCTCCTGAAACAACATATTAATCTACGGTTGACATATAAATGTTTAAAAACTAATATCATTATCAAAATTAATATAAGAATCATAATTATCAATGGATATCAATAATATTTTCAAAGCGAAAATGATTACCATCATCATGAGCTTCAAGTGTATGTATGAGAAACTACTCTTCTGAATAGGTGTGATTCAAGGTAAGGAGTTTTTTAAAATTGGAATTTTGCTTAGGTGGCAGCCCAACAGCCTATTCCTCTAAAACTTTCAATCACCACAGAATCTCTCATGTGCACATCAAGCATATAAGATCCCTCATATTTTTTTACCATACCCAAGATGACTAGGAACTTAAGATCCAGGGCACAGAGGAAGAAGGAGACTGAACGAGAGAGTCAGAGGTTTTTTTTTTCAGAGGAGGAGGAGGAGGAGGAGGAGGAGGAGAAGAAAAAGAAGAAGAAGAAGAAGAAGAAGAAGAAGAAGAAGAAGAAGAAGAAGAAGAAGAGAAAATCTGACAAACCAGCATAGACCAGGTATCCCACTTACCTGCCATCATGCACACCATGCTGGCTTTATAAACGTTGTTCAAAGAGCCAAGCTCTCCTGTGGCTAAAATGGTCTTCATATGAGCTGACCCGCAGGCTTGCTTCATTTGCCTCACTTCGTCATAGACACCTGGCAAAAACCACAGCAAATTTTTATTCTGCTCTTTAATAATAATAATAACAATAATTTTAAAAAATTAAGTAGATTCCCATTGTGTTCACTCCTCAACTGGGCTTTAGGCATTTGAATAATTAGGCACTTTATAATAATAGGTTAATACAGTAGAACATGGCTATGTTGCAGCAGGACCATCCCTTCTGCGGGACCTTACCAGAATTCCCTTTTATTTTGGTCTATCTAGACTCAATTAACTGTGCTTGGGTTTAACGGGGCAAGAAAAGGTCCGAACTTAGAAGAATTGGTCAGTCCAGTGAAAAGTGAGGCGGGGCAGACGGCAGAGAAAGATGGTGCGGAGAGACGTGTTACGTGAGCCTCTCCAAGAGTGATGTGTCATAGCCCTTGGCTAAGCCAAAAAAGATAGTAAAAGAAAAGGAGAGCGTGTAGTGTGTGATTTTTTGGTAATTCCCCTTTGCATTCCTATAGCAGGAACTTGCCTACAGCGGGATTTTCTTGTGGAGCTAAAAGTCCCGGTCTAGCCATATTCTACCATACTGTATAATTTTTTTTAAAAGCATAATATGCGCATGAGCAAAGTTCTTTCCAATGTTTGAAGTGAAAACCTCACAATATTCCATCAGGACAAAGGCTACAGTCTCGTCCAAAAGACTATTTATTTTTATGAAGATAAATGTAAGCGGATTTAAAGATACTTAAATATTTCTTCCTTTTTTAAAGAAAAAAATGTGTCACATCACAAACTTGGCAATGATAATGAAAATACAATAAAAACTCATCCACAGTCGTAATTAAAACTGGAATAGCTATAAATAAACATTTCTTCACCTAGGGCAACCCCGTCTGAACTTCAAACATACCTTTCCAATTGCCAGCGAGAGCATACGTCCTGTTGATGACAATATCTATTTCTGTGGCTCCATCATTCACAGCATATTTGATTTCTTCAAGCCGAGGAGCAAGCGCAGTCTGTCCACAGGGAAATCCAGTGGCAACTGTCGGAGTGCATGGAAGTTATGTTTATAAAAAATGAGAGTCAAACAGAATATGAATTTAATGTCTCACAGCATTTGAACAACTTTGAGTTAAGTTAAAAAAACCAATAAAAAACCCCAACCCACTTAGTACAGCAGTGTCTTCTTCAACTGATATAATCTGTTGGGACCACTTGATTTTCTTTCATATGATGAAGCCAAGTTTTCCGTTCAGAGAGATTGCTCAAATAAAAAAAAAAAAAAGAGGATTTATTTGCTTTCGGTTTACATTGTTTTCCGATTAATCCTGTTCGGTTTAAGCCGACTCTTCAGTACAATGACTTTGCTATTTACTGGAAAGCTCTTTTTGATACATGGGACAGTATTCATAACAGGAGAAAGCAAGATTAAAAAGAAATATAATCGGACCCATTTTTACACACTGTAACAAATTACAGTATCTAGATCGAAAATCCAGAGGCATGGCATACAATTCCATATCTATACATGACATACAATAGAATAATAATTTTGTAGCTCAAAATTCGCATAAGACAGATATCTTGGATCAGGGAGCAGGAGACAGTCAGTTTAAATTGTTATTTCTTTTACGCCCTAATTGACACTGTCGTCTTGGCCATCTTCTCATTTTGACAATCAAACAGTTAAAAAGGCTACATCAGCAATATGCAGAAAACTTAAAGTTTTTAATATTGTATTACTAAATATGATAAGAAATGACCAGGGTAGAACAGTTACAGATAAATTACCTGAAGCAACAGGAATTGAAGGTTTTCCCACCATCTTGAGCGATTCTTTCGCTGCTGTCACTTGGTTGGGGTATACGCACACAGCACCGGTTGTGATTTCTGAAAAGAATAATAATGACCTTGATCAAAAGGTGACAAAACATGGAAAGACACGCGGCTGAAAGCTCTTACATTATCATCAACAGTTTTCTCCCTTCTGTTCCTGACATGTTAAAAGCACCTTAGTACAGTATGTCGGTTTTATCTGCTTTTTTCCCCAACACTCAGTACATCTTTGTAGGCTTAGTTGCGATTGGGCAATCCTTTGTAAAACAGTCCTATTTCTTTGGCGTTACTGTCCCCATGGTTTTATGAGAAAAAAATTCTAAAATAAAGCAAACTGAGCCCAAAAATGTGAAATTATGTGATTCCATTCATTTTAATAAAGAATGTTAAAGGAAAATAATCAGAAATTATGCAAAAATTGTCAAATCATGCAGGGTGCATAAAACCACGAGGACAGACATTATCATGTGTGTACCTCTCACGAGGGCGTTCCAGTATTGTCTCCATGTAAAAAGCGTCCACCCCAAAGGGAGGTAACAGCAAGTAATCACTAAATTAACAAGAAAATATGATGGTTGTGTCCCCTTGCTTGAATTAATAAAACATGTACTTCGTGTGTCTTTGTAAACGTAGGCCCTACATGTAGGGGCCCTCCTGAGCACCGGTGTTTAGGCGGAAGCTACTGCATACAAACAAATTCAAAATGTCAGAATGAATACTTTAATTGTATTTTTAAAAATTTAACAATTTGCAGAATAAATTAATCAAAACATTTGAGACATATTCTGGATTGAAATTGAATTAACACTTCTATATTATATATAAGTTACATACAAATATCCCAGCCCTCATTTCACAAAACACATGCAACAAGCTAATCAACGTCCTCCCTAGTCGAATAAAAGCATCATCATTTGAGCACCCCCTCTTCTTTCTCTCCAGGCTTTACAATGAGCTTCATGAAGAAAGGTTGCCCTCCATTATAAACATACAAGATAATAGTCATCAGCCTGCTCTAGGATACACATTGGATTACCAAAGTACTATGACAAAACCCCCATGTCTAACCACCAACTTACTCACTCGCCCTCCTTTTGGCTGTCCCTCCCTCACACAATGCTCTTCACCAGTTCTGATGGGAAAAATAGTTTTGATGACTTTACAAACTGTTCATTGTATGAACAGTTAAGGTACTTGAAAACCTGGAGGTGTCATCTCTGGCTCAAAGGTTGACGAGCAATGACCCGTCACTGCTTACAGTCGCTAGCTGTCATTATACTCGCTGTCATACTAAGGCCAGAAGGAATCAGGATTGTTATCAACGCTAGCAAAATAAAACCCACTTCCCTCATTTCTCCACAGAGAAGGGTTAAACTATAATTCACTCCTGGGAGCAGGAAATCGTCAGTTTATTAAATTCTTATATTCTTTTATGCCCTAATCGACACAATTTAGATAATTTAGTTGGCAGGCTCCTAACCTTGCCTGTCAGGGCGGGCCCCGGGTGAGAAGGATACAGCACTGAGATACCGTACTTGATAAAAAGTCTCCCAACTCAGGAATCAAACTTGGGTCTCCTGCTTGTGTCAGGGAAGCACCTTGGTGCTACACCAGAGATGCCAGTGGATAGACAGTGTGATAAGTGAGAACTGTAAAAAATAAGCTACCCGGCTCATGCTGTGTCTACCTTTATGGTCAACCTGAAGCATCTTCAAGACATCGGTGCTGACAGGATGTGCGGCTTTGAAACAAAGCCTAGAGACGTTGGATGGTGTGTCGTCTCCAGCCAAGGTTGTAAGGTCGATACAAGTCACAGCACGCAACTGCCAGTCAGCCTGCACAAGATAACTTATTTCTTAATTATGCAAAAATACATCATATACATGCATCTCAAATAGAAAGAATTTTATTGAAAAACTCAAAAGGACAAAAATAGGGTTATATTTTATACAAGTCATTGTGATTGTCTTGTGGGCAAAGTATATTATTTGATAAAATATAGGCTTAAAAAAAATGAGAAACACACAACTTTTTTTTTTAGAAAAAGAAAGTTGAAGATTACAGCATGTATGTCATTAAAGAGAGAAACTCAAAGAGTGAGACAGAGAAATAAAGTTATTGGGCTGCTTTTCTTTGTGACTTTCACTACTAATCTGCTCATTTTAAGGACCCTTCAAATAAGATTGTAAGTAAGGGTAAGAGACAAATGAAAAATATTTTAAAGCAATTTCGGTCATTCATTTTGAAATGGGGAAAAAAAAGCGTAATAATTGATAAAAAGTACTACAAGTACAAGCATTATAACCAACCAGCGATGTCCTCAAAGCTCAACCCAAACTTTGCTGTATAATTCTGTGACTGGCTTCAACTTCAATTCTAGATACTTATAGCATGTTCTCAAAAAGCAACTTTCAAAATTAAAATTAAAGTTTAATTTCAATCAAACTGCTGAGTACACATGACAGAGTGCCACACAATACAAAAGCTGAAACAGCATCAGCAACTTTCTGTGGTGCTCTATTTTCGAGAATTCAATTAAAAAACAAGCGGGAAGGATCGAATTAAAATGTGCAACATAAAACATTTCACTGAGTCATTGTGCATTTCAGAAATGTGTACTTTCAATTTACCTGCCAGTGTTTCTTGACAGTCCTCCTACTCCCCAGCTCAGCTGCTCTTCTCTTGACAGCTGGCAAATTGATTCTCACATCTTTGAAAAAGGACTCATCTGAACAGTAATAAATATGAAAGTAAGGTAAACAAAAAGACTAGAAATAGATGACAAGTTACTTAAATTTCAAAACACATGCATACACACCCATCCACATACAAACAATGACCCTCTGTCATTTCATTTGGCTTATAATTAATATGCAGCTGTTTAGCCTTTCCTACTTTTTGATTACATACGGTATAAAATGATTTGTTTGTCGCAAGAGTGTTTCTTCACCTTTGTTGTATTTGCAGTCAATTATTTTTTTGTTGCTGTTGTGGGATACTCTTTCTATTTTTAAATATAAGGATACCTTTTGCTCATCTTTGAATTCTGTTTCTGTTTACCTCTATTAATACAGGTGACTGCCCCAATTCATCGAAACGATTGGTAGCACGAGAGTAGTTGAAGTTCACAGCAGCAACTGATTCTTCTTTTATGTGTATAAACATAAAAACTACTTCTTAACTTTTGTGTCCCCTCACAACATATAAAGTAGTCCAACTCCTTACTGTACCTTTAGCAGAGGAATTTATTAGTTGTTGAAGCTGGTTCAATCAGAGTTTATAAGAAAATCTGTCATTCTCTCTTGTTTTTGGCCTCATATATCTGTCAAACATGTCTGAGCACCCCCGCCGACACAAACACTCAACACACTACATCGACCCCCAACGGCAAGTGATTCAAATTAATCTAATTTAAGGGGTGGGGGTTGGGTCATCATACAAATACAATGATGTCTCAATCCCTGACCATTGTCTTTCTGGTAGTCTTACCAATTATAACTCATTTCGCATCTCTGTCAGTAAGTCTAATTAATTAGACTGAGTTACATATATCATGTTTAATTAGCAGAACTAAGAGCAACATGACAAATAAAGTCTGAGTAAATTTAGTAAAATCTGTGTTCTCCACAATAAAGTTCGAAAGTGGCTATTCTCACCCGCCCGGAAATTCTCGCAAGATCAACTCCTCCCCTCTTCTCTCTGTCTCTTTCTGAATACTGTCTATCGGTGTGGACGATCAAATTGACCCAAACAAAGTTAAAAAATGATGTTAAAACACAAAAGTAAATTAATTTGGTTGTCTACAAAGATGCTACGGCAATTTAACTTTTCGAATCGAGCCGAACTACGCGGGTCGCCATTTTGTTTTGCCCGGAAATTCTCGCGCTACTCCTCTCTCTCTCCACTGCCCACAGACAAAATTGTACGCTTTTAGTAGGCTACAGTTGTAATGGAACGTTTGTTCACGGCACAGAATTCTACAATTTTTCTGTTATCACAGTGTAGAATTCTGTGGTTTAGGGTGAACGCAAAATTTGGTGAACGCGCACCGGGTGAGAATAGCCACAAGACTCGCCTGCACTATTCTCACTCCGGGTGAGAATAGAGGTGGCCATAAAGTTCAGTTCCGTTTGTCCTTTGACTTTGATGTTTTGCTTACTTTAAATTGACTTGGCAGTTAGTAGTGTTAGTTAGGGTCTGGAGATCAATGGCCAATCTTAAAGAGAAGGAGTGGGGTAGTGGTAGGCAGGGGAAAGTTACAAAAAAATAATAACAGGCTCTGAGGTTGGCAAATGTAGGCTGGGCAAGGCTTACACTAGATAAGCGCAGGGTCATCAGGGGGGAAAGGTCATTCATGGACGCCATGGTTCATTGGTCATCATTCATACAGTAACCGTAACACAGTACACAGAACTGTCCACCTTGAAACAGTTATCTGTTTTTAAAAAGCAGAGGCTTGAAACCCCCCAACAACAACAGAAGTCGTACCATATTCGCAGCCTAGGTTTCCATGTTCAGCCATCGCGTTGGCTGATTGCTAAATAATACACTTAACAGCCTTGTGTGCTCACAACTTGCAAGCTCTCTGCTTTCGCTTTTCGTCGCTTTGCAATAATCCAAGGCAAGGGAGATAATTCTCAGTTCTCAGATCCGAATGGAAGCAATATAATAATATAACGTCAAATGAAAAGAAGAAAGAGGAAATCGGGGATAAAAAGAGGCACAAAGGTACCAATTGAAGGAGGATTAAAAAGAGAGAGGGAGAGGACGAAAAAAAAGAGAAACATTTGTAGTTAAAAAGGAGATGAAAAAGCTGAATTAAGTTTTCTCGTCTTTGAAACCTGCCCTATTCCATAACTTGAAACTTCTTTGCCCTATTCCTTTTGCTTAGTCCAAACTGGCAGTCACTTTTGTTTACTGTTATCTTCGAATTAAATTGTACATCGTTATGTACTTGGAAGTGTCCTTTGTTCATTTACTATGCAACATATGGACAATTTTTGAAACCTGTTGTATGTCTGTTTATCATTCTAAATGAAATAACAAATAGTTGTATTGCTCTGGGGCTCAATTTTAAGATGTTCTAAAGTTCAAAAACAACTTTACTGGCTTTACAAGGAACAGGAGCCAATGGGCTTATGATTACTACCATAGCAACGTTGACAGCGAAGGCTCAGTCGAAAGCGGGGGTCAATGGCGTCCTGATAAGTTTTTGTTTGAATATGATCATAGAATCAAAATGACAGAAGTTACACAAGGTATTCTGGCCAACGCCAACAAAGGGAGATATTCCTCTATCAAAGATGCATTGTCGGAAGATGGTAAGACACTGCACTTCAATTGTGTTTTCTTATTTGATTGTCACTCAAAACTTTTTAGCCCTCTCGTCTGCCTCCGTGGATGTGGTACTTTTAAAGACCAGATTTTCCCTCTGTAGTTAGGAAGATGTCTTGTCTGATTATGTTCTTAATATAAGAAATATACGCTTCCTCACTGCTTTGTTAATGATACTGTTCTGTCAAAAAGTGGCATAGCATAGATATCTTGAGTTTCACTGATATTTTTTGGATTTCAGAGTCAATCATGACATGATGATCTCGACACTCCACCAACAATGTATTGTAGGCATAGATAGGCCTAGATCTAGGTGTTCCAGTTCATAATGTTGTGGGAGGAAAAAAAAGCCCATACTCTTTATCCTTCCGTACAGCATGACTGCTAAATGCTCTCTTTTCAAAACAAACAAAGCACTGCTGAAATTGTAGGCACTCAATAAAGTCAATAGACTGTTAAATTAGTGCTTGGGTTGTCAGTTTTATCACCGAAGTTGCTGTTGCATGGGCTTGATGGATATCAACCCTGACAGGTGGAGTTACGAAGTTATAAAAAATTCCTAAAATCAAAACAATTACTGTGTCGGGAAAAATGTCCTAAGGAATCTATTCATGACGTGTCATCATCAGTGCCTTAATTTCACCCCTGGCAGGGTATATGCCACATATACAAGCTTCTTCCATTTATCTCTGCCCTGGGCCGTTCTTCAAAGCTCATTCCTATAGTGAGCTTCATCTCTCTCATATGTCTCTTTCCACACATCTCCTCCACGTTTCCCATGGCCTCCGGCCTGCCTCAAGTGCTTCCTGTGGGTTCCACTGCAGTGACTGTCTTGTGATGTTTCCGCTGGGCTTTCTGAGGTTGTGTCCCATACATCGCCGCTTTCTTAGTCCTGTTTCTACTTCTATATCCCTTTGTCCTGTCCTTTCCCACAGCTCTTCATTTTTAATTCTCTCCTGCTAATTAATTCTTTGGATGCTCCTCATACATCGATTGATGATTAAAGTCTGGACTTTATTCAGTACTGTCTTTGTTGTCTTCCAAGTTTCGCAGCTGTAGAGGAGCACAGACTTGACATTGGAGTTGAAGAGTTGAATATTGGTGCGCAGTGAGATATTGCTTGCTTTCCAGACTTTTGATAATCGATTGAATGTTGACCTTGCCTTGGCGGTTCTTGCTTTTACGTCTGCCTCGATCAGTTCTCCCTTTACCATCGATGACACTTCCAAGGAAGGTAAAGGAGTCCACTTCTTCCAGAGGAGTGTCTTCTGCTGTCACAGTAGGGCTCGACTTGCCCAGATGTATGCGTAAGCCAACACTCCTTGATAGGGTGTTGAGCTCCTTGGTCTTTTCTTGCATCTGATTATGTGTGTGAGAGAGCAGTGCAAGGTCATCGGCAAAGTCCAAGTCGTTCAGCTGCTGGCAAGGGGTCCACTGTATTTCATTGTGCTTTCCTCTGGTGGCTTCTTTCATGACCCAGTCAATTAAATTACTAGTATGAAGAGAAAAGGTGAGAGCACGCATCCTTGTTGCACTCCTGTGTGTACCTGCTATGGTTCTGAGATTTGTCCTTTATGGAAGACTTTGCAGTTTGTTCCATCATAGGTGGCCTTCGCAAGCTTGACGATTTTATCAAGTATTCCATAATGCCGCATCAGTTTCCACAGTTTCCCTGTCCTCGCTGTCAAACACCTTTTCATAATCAATGAAGTTGACCACAAGTGGTGAATTCCATTCAAGCGATTTCTCAACAATGATGTGCAGAGTAGCGATCTGGTCCACACATGATTCATGATATGTGTACAGTCCTATTTAGCCTGGAGTTTGATATAAAAGTTTCATTTGTGATCTGCACAATGTATGTTATATGTGGAACAAAGTATAAAGCTCTCATGGCATATTGTTATCAGTATTTCTGCTTACCCTGATGATTAATTGTGGCATATATTTTATAGCTTGTATTCAAAGACACCATACACACTGGAAGGTTTAATAAGTTTTATTGACTTTGGACTGGTAAATTGATAGCAAAGAGAGAATCTGCTGCTTTTTTAATAGTTGTCATTTAGCACCTCTTGTGTTTGTCACACATATTAAATGCAATTGCACCTTCGTATTGGGCACCTTGATATACATCACACTGCATTAATTATACTTTCTGGGGTGTGTGATATTGATAAGTATGAGTATCAGCATTCCATGAATTAATCTTCGGTCTTTGCTGAGTGTTACCTTTCAGAGTAATCTTCTATTGTATCATAGGCCACATTACTATGCTAATTCAAGTTGTTTTGTGCAAAGTCTGAGAATTATGTGTTTCAGTTTTTTTTAGATGTTCACATCCATTAAATCCTTATCTTCGTCAAGCCGCTGAGTGACAGCCGCTCGTGGTTGGAACTGCTGTGCCGGTGAGCAACTGGCAGTGGCTGAGACATATTCCTTTATTACCACTTTGACGTCAAATTACTTTTCAGCAATTGCCAACAACTGGTCCTGTGTACACGTGATCATTCATTAGATAAAGAACTATGGAAATAGGTTCACTCCAATTTAGTGACCTATATGTCAATTTTAGATTTCATTCCAAAGAGTGTTTAATCAAATAAAAATACATAATATTTTCCTAGTTTTTACTCATTGACTGAAACAGCCTTCATGGAACTTAAAGTTTCTTTTCCTTGTTCTTTTTCAGATGTGTCAAGTGTGTGGGAAAATGTTTCAAATTATATTGAAAAGCAAATGACTCAACAGAAGGCAAGTTACTTTTCTTTTTTATGCAATGTCATATTTCTTGTGCAGTTATAGTTCTCTTTTTTATTTTTACTCTACACAATGCTGGGGAGGATATGAATCACACTAATATAGCAGGAATAGTTCAGCATATGAGGATTTTAAGTGTATTTATATACTGACTCATCAATAAATGTTCTCTGAAAACTGTCGTACAATGTGTGTGCACCTACTGAATAATATTCCAGGACAATTTGAACTCAGGCACATACAGGGAGAAGGCGTCAAGTGGGGCAAATCCATCTGTAGTTTCTGTACTGTATGTGAGCGTTTGCTTTCTGGGCTACGTACATTGTAACATAACATTAACAGATATGTATTTACAGTATTGTCATGAGTATGCATGGATTTTTTTTCTGTATTCTTTTGAATGGGCTGGTTATAATCTTAATTTATTGCTATCATATCTTCTATTCACAGGGGGTGCAAATTCCAGGTCTTGGAACATTTTCAATATCACAGAAAAAGCTGGAAATTGGCAACAACAGGTTTATCTTGACCCAGAGGCCTGTCTTCAACATTTCTGAAAAGTTTGCGCAGACTCATGGATTGCAGTTTCAGAAATATCACGTGCCTGGTAATTATTGTTTTTTACCCCTTCTCAACATTGACAACCAAACTGTGGTTGAATAGTTATCATTTAACAAAAAAATCTGTTTATCATTGATTGTTACAGAGTGTTTTTTTCTTTAGTTTTTAGGGGGGGGGGCGGTTGCTATGAATGAATTAATTTTTGGTCCTTTTGTAAACTTCAGAAGAAAAATTACAATTTTATGTTCATGTTGCAAATTTCTCATGTATATATTCAAAGGAAACTAAACTATTGTATACTCATAAATAATGGATAACTTTATGCTGCTCTTGAGCTCTCTGTAAGTGATGGACCTCTTACATTTCTATCTTTAGGATCAATACCAGTGCTGCCTCTCAACTTTGCCTCCATCTCATTCGAGAGCCCTTTTGACAGAGACACAGTGGAGAGATGCTGCAAAGAAATTATCTCATCATCTGCTCGAGCTCTGGCATCAAAACGAAATATTGAGCTGTGCTTTTCTGGAATTGGTCGTCTCACAATAAGGGAAGGCAGAGTAAAAATGAAATTCTACAAAGAGTTTATAAATGAAATGGACTCCTCTGGGAAATTGGTGGATTCTATGATGAATGTAAGTATTGATTTTTGCATTGTTTTTCACTATTTAATGATAGCAGAATGGGTTCATGTTGTGCACTATCTGTAATATTGTTAATGATAATTATCGCTTTCAATGTTTGATGCAGTTACAGTTGAAAGGAACTCTTAGATAGTGGGGGAGGGGGGATGGGGGGGTTGTGAAATTTGATATGCGAGAATGCCTTACAAGGAAATGACAAAGTTGATAAGTTTAAGAGAAAATAGAATGTACTATTGAATGAGTTGTCAGTAAGCTAATTTTTGCTCACCGAGGACCAAGGTCTGGATGACCTTTTTTCCCAGGCACCCAGCAAAAAAGTAGGGTTTTTTTGGTCAAAAAAGTGTACCCGTTCATTTATCAACTAATTTTCATAATTTCTGAATATTGTATGCATAACTGAAAGCTCTTTGAAGACAAAACGCAAAAATGAACCTGTGCTTAAGGATTTTAAGTTTTTGAGAATGACAATGAAGACGAAAAAAGAATAAGGATGATGATAATTTATTGTAATGCTTATGTTTGTCTCTCTCTTGGTTGGAATGTATTGTTTTTAATCTGAATCATAACATTCTGAGACCAATTCAGACTTTCATATTTACTTTTTTCTTTAAATCTGTGAAATTATTATGTTTTGACTCCATTATGAACCTCAGTGCCTCTATAGACACAACACTTAGTTTGGTAACTTAAATCATGGAAATCTAGAAAATAATCTATCCGAGAATGCTCCATAAAAGAATTCACAGAATATAGACTTATCATGCTATTATAAAGAGCTTATATCTATGGTACCAATAGAAAGCAAAAGGTGTGTTAACTTTGTTAGCAAATCAATATTACATATTTGGGTTAGTTTTGCTACAAAAGAATTCTGCATGTTGAATTTGTGAAAATGTTATCTTCAATCTGTGACTTTGGAAAATTGCACGAGTATGATAGATGTGTTCAGTAAGTTAGGATTTGTGATGAAGGTTTATTAAGCTTGTCTAGAACTATTTATTGTGCAAAAAAATGTAAGATTTTGCCCAAATGATTTTTGTATCAAGAAAACGAGAGACAACCATTGAGGGTTGTGTTAGGTATTTACCCTTATCTCATTGAAATATATATATATAACTAATAGACAGACAATTTAGTTAATTCGAGTTTGTGTATTTGACTGAAGTATCCTCTTTTAAAAAATTTCCATAGCGAGTGGGCACTGTGGACTCGGTCATGTCTGACAGGCTCTCTGTCCGGCCTCACTCCAGTAACACAATGATCTTACCTAAGTAAGTAATTGCTGACTCAATGCTTTCTGTCTTGGGGGAGATATTATTTACTCATTTGCTGCGTAATTTTCTATGGTCCTGACATAATTTCCTCAACTAGCAGGTACCTGTTAAGTTCATATATTTAGTTTTGTTAACCAGTTTACTGATTTTTTTGGGCAAAGCTTAACATAATATATCAAAGAAAGGGCTTTGCAACGGGAATTTGAAAACACTGAATAGTTTTATCAAAGCTTGGATATTATTTCAGAAAGCCTAGACTGGAATATCTTTCTATAATATCTTTAGAGGCATATGGTAGAGAGCCAGTGATACAGCTCAGTGTAGTGGTGAGGAAGATGCAGAGCAGATTAATTGGCTTATGTTAATGAATGAGTTTAACACTTTGTCATCTTATGTTAGGGAAAATCCAAGGAAACTGGGTGGTAAACATCGCCAGTCGGCGAGATGAGGTGACAAAGTGTTAGAATATTTAATTCTTAGGTTCCTTAAAATTTTGTGGACATACACTTGAGATAATAATGCAATATTGAAGTATACATCCTGTTTATCTCAATGAGTACTGATTTTTTTCTTTTATGATAATGTTTTATGATCTGACTTTATTATAATAACATGCCTTTTGATAGATACTTTCAATAGGCTTTGTTGTCAGCTCGTATTTTATTATTTTGTTATTATTATTATTATTATTATTATTATTATTATGATGATGATGATGATGATGATGATATTGTAGAGAATAACTCCTAGTTATGTAATGTTTTGGTTCAGGAACATGCACTTTGTAAATGTAATTATATATTATTATTGACCAAGAAAAAGCATATTAAATTAATGTAATTGTTTTGGCTTCAGGATCAGCTCGGGTCGGGATGGATCAGTCAACGGCCTACACAACAGTAGTCTGACACCTGTCGTGGAGCAAGAGGAGGACCCTGCAGGTGCGGAGTTCGCGGGTGTTCCCGGACCCCCAGGCCCTGTGGAGGTTCATTTCTACCCCGAGGTGGACGAGCCGGGATACGGTGCAGGGGGAGCAGCATTTGCCCCACAGCCTGAGGACCTGGCGTTGAAACAAGAGGGCATGGAGGGTCCCGACGGGGACTTTGCCACCGATCATGCCATGGAGAACATCTTGAGAGAGGGTGACACGGCCAATGCTGACTCTCAGCCTTCACTAGTCCCACAGCCCTTTGAGATGGATGTAGGAAATCAAAATGGTGAGTTATCAATAGACGTCAAGCAGTTTTTAGAAGGTCCATTTTAAAACTTTTTTTCTGTGCGCATTTTTATGTTCATTGTAGATTCTAGAAAAATATTGGTTGAAGCTAAGATGAATTTTTTTTCGAAGACTTTTTGTCTACATGGGAAGTTTCTTATGTGTTCTATCTTAGTAAAAATGTCCCAAAACACTGTGTCCAGTGATAGGAACAATTTTTTATTTGGAGTCTTTAGGAAACACAGAGATAAATGACAAAAGTGGAAAAATTAGCATTTAAAAAGATCAAGAAAAACAGAAAGAGATAAAAAAATGGACAGTTTTATTCTCTGCAATGTAAAACATTCAGCAGACCTAAGAACAGTAGTATTTAATGACGTGTAGCTTTGATTTTGCCTTAATTTTAAAATTTGTCACTCTACCTTGCAAATGACTTGGTTGGGGATCTTATTTACGAGCATTTTGATTTTTTTGAATTGAGGCCACCCCCCGTTAAGTAGGATCTACCATGATTGTGATATGGTTGTAGGGAAAGAGCTGCAACTAATTTATAAATGTAAATTTGCACTATGAAATACTATGCGCAAATAGTTTTCTGTCTATTAAAAATCATTTTTTTCTATTTTCAAAGATAGTGAGGATTGATGACTGGGAAAGCTGTTTTTAAACTTTTAGAAGACATTTCTGTCCTTATATCTTATGGATTGTACCTGAAGTTCCACTCTGCACCTTCAAAACACATCTGAGTTTGCCCCTCAAGTAGTTAACAAGTGAAACACCCCAGGCCACTAAAAATTTGAAATGTGGGTTTGGCTAATGAGACAAGAATATTCAGAGGCTGAGGAGCTCTGAATTCACTTCCATCCAAGCGATTGTTTAATCACCCTTGCCTTTCATTCGGGGGGTATTGACAACAGTGCATTATTTATTGTTTATTTATTCTGCGTCTTCGGACAGGGTTTTGAATTTATGCGGCTTCTCTTAGTAATTATTAATTCATAAGAACAGACAATAGCAGGGTGCTGACAAAGTTCTCAATGGTTGGTTGCACCCCAGTGAGGTCATTGTGCTGTCCTACGTTTGACTTTACCCTTCAATGCCCTGACAGTTAGTCAAAGACAGAGTGAATCTTTTAAGAACAAAAATTATAGCAGACTGGAGGTATGATTCCCTTGAGAACTGGTTGTGGTGAGGCTGATGAGGATGAGGATGATGATGATGATGATGATGATGATGATGAGGATGATGAGATGATAAATTATGATGAGGAGAAGGCTATTAAACTTAAACAGAAAGAAAGCAAACTTGATGGAATGGGTATCTTGAGGACATGATGATGATGATGATGATGATGATTATGATGATGATGATGATGATGATGATGATGATGATGATGATGATGATGATGATGATGATGAAAATGATGATAGTGATGATGATGATGGTGATAATAATTGCGAAGGGGATGACAGTTCTACCAAAGATATTTAATGATAGGCTACGGCAGCAGCGGTTGCAGTCTGAATATTGGTAAAGTTAGAAGTTGTGTGTGTGTGTGTGTGTGTGTGTGTGTGTGTGTGTGTGTGTGTGTGTGTGTGTGTGTGTGAGTGTGTGTGTG